GGAGAGCATTGACCACCAGAGGCCAACTCCTGCATTGAGCTTCTGCCCCCTGGTAGTCAGTGCACGTCTTAGTGACAGGTTGGACTGCCATTCTGTTAATTTGCCTTTTATTATATAGGATAGTTACATTGTTGATAACAAAGACTTAAGGCAGTGAGTGTTCTCTCAGGGTGTGTTTGCTGTTTGCACATTAGCTGGCTTTCTACCATGCTCCCTTTTCTCTTTAGTTGGGGCAGTGGAATTCTTCTTTCTCCACCCAAGGAGCGTGGTGGTAGGAGAAGGTAGTTCACCTTTGGATGTTCTTGATCTCATCCCCTGCATGTAGTGAAAGTTCAGTAGGCAGAAGAAACCTGTGACCTGCCAGCTACTTACTCAGATTCAGAATGCTGAATGAAGTTCTAGGTTGTTTCGCAGGATGCTGACAAGTGATTCAAGTCCTCTTGTAAATGGAAATCTCTATAATAATGAGGTTTCCACTTACTCATTGTGACTTTTTATAGATTGTAAAGTGGCCGTGATATTAGTATCTGTGATTTCACTACAAAAATCTATAATGATATGTTTCCTGCATATTATGGACATAAAAGTATGATAAAATAGAATCAAAGGAATCTTTGCAAACATCATTTTGCGTATAAAGATAATAAGGTTTGGAGAATAGATCAGAATTATAGGACAATTTGAAGGCAAAGCTAAGATTAGAGAGATAAATGGGTCTGTGTACTTGTTCTAGGTAAGAATACCATGAAGTTTTATATAAATATTAGTGGCCCATTGCACAAAGATTCACTCAGTAGGCCTTCCTTCCCCTGGCTGCCGGCACCAGTTTTTCTCCGGCACCCGGGACCCAGGCCTTTGGTCCGGCCGCAGCATCAAGGCTTGGCTTCTCTGCTCTGGCTGCTCCCAGTCCCTCCTTTTTTTTTTTTTTTTCCAGCTCCTTGAGCGGAGTCCAGGGGCAACTGGAGGCTTGGCTTCCTCCGTCACCAGGAGCAACCCAAGCTTCCTGCTCACTCCAACTCCGTGGCCGCCACCATCTTCAGTAATCTTCAGTCTTCACTTCGCACCTGTGTATGCAAATTAACCACCATCTTTGTTGGGTTAATCTGCATAGTCGATCTGATTGGCTGGTGGGTGTAGCAGAGAGACAGAGTTATGGAGTGATGGTTAATTTGCATATTTCTATTTTATTATATAAGAGTAGAGGCCTGGTGCACTGGGGGAGTAGGGGTTCCTCAGCCTGGTCTGCGCCCTCTCTCAGTCCAGGATCCCCAGGGGATGTCCGACTGCCATGGAGGTGGGAGAGGCTCCCACCACCACTGTTGCACTGGCCAGCCATGAACCCAGCTTCTAGCTGAGCAGCACTGACAACCAGCAGCACTGCCCATGTGTGTTTTGCTCACAGAAACAGTCCTCACTTTTGCACATTCTCACCCGTTACTTTTACCTAGATCCAGAATTAGCTGCAATATTCATATTAAGCCTTCCCTGGAATGATAATCAACTGGGCCCCTAGGAAGAGAAGAACCAGCTGCAGATTGTGACCATTTTCCTATAAGATCTTCATTGTAGAAGAAGAACAACATAGAAAAACATAAATAGGATGTAAACCACTGTCCCATCACTTTCAGCAATTAATCTTTGAACATATTTCTGTCCTGTCTCCCTTCTGTAAGTAACAGGCCACTCTGGTCAGTGGCTGGCATCTCTCCACAGGGTCAGCACCTTCCTTCTTGAACCTCTTATAGCTGCCACTTATGTAGTCTAGCTGTGTGCACAGAAAGAAGAGGCAACAGATTTTGGTGAGCACATTAGCCATTAAATTACTCATAAATACCATGATGTCTGGAGCATTTTTAAGGTATCATTCCAATGCCTTGGTGTTTGAGATGTTTGCTTATAGCCTCCCTCCCTTCCTTCCTTCCAATATCTGGTGAAATCCAATTTATCTTTCAAGCTCAAACTAAGAGGACTTCTGCTTTTTGGCAGTTTTCTCCCATCTCAGAACACTGAATTCATACCAGTGTTTTAGTATTTGCACTTTATTGTAACTACCTATTATCATGTCTTTTTCTCTTTCCTTTTTTATGTCTCTTTCTTATTAAACTGTGAGTTGTCAGAAGCAGGAATCCTGAATAATTTGACTTTATAATGATAGTACTTAGCACTTTACAATTTCTTAGAAAAGGTGTTAAAGGAATTTTAAAGGAGTCCTCTAAAATCTCTTTCTCAATAACTCTCATCTGTGGGTCATGTAATGTATTTCACCTTTAGGCATTTCAAAGAACACACATAATAGTGATTAATATTGATACTTATAAGACTGTCTTTTTCTTAGAAAATGCTAGAGGCTTTGTTTATATTTGTTTTGAAGTGCTATTGTTTCACTATTTAGCAGTAAACTTCCACTCTGAAAATATCTTTGCTTAATTGAGTCAGTAGGTAAAAATCCAAGTTATTACAGAATAATAAAGTTAGAAGAGCCTGGAGAGGAAGATAATGGGAACACTGAGTGGCATTACAGTGGAGCAGAAACACACAAACTCAGCACACCTGGTTTCAGTCAGGGCTCACTGTTTTTCAGTGGTGTTACTTCTCACAGGGTTGATCACTTATCTTCTCTGAGCCTCAATTCTTTCATCCATAAAATGGGACCACAGATCACATGGGGGTGTTGTATAAACACTTGAGATCCCATGTGTATGAAGGCAGGCATCTTGAAAAGGGGCACACAATATAAGGAATTATTATTATGCCACAATGAATAGACTGCTGATACTATTCACTCTTCTACTTCTATTTCCTAGTAAGAAATACCAGCAATCCAAGATCAGCATTTTATGAGATTAGAATCTCAAAGAAAACAGTCTTTCCAATTGTGTTATTTCAGAAACAGTATCACAAGCACATAGGAAGGAGTTTTTAATTATATAAATAAAATAAATGATAGATTTTTTCTTAAAATCTGTGAAAAGCTGACAAGTTAAGTACTCTGAAATTGGAGTATACTTGAAATATAAGTGCTAAGGGTAGAATCTGAATTGCTTAGATGTATAGAGGACAGACAGCATTCTTGCTGCCTTTATTTAGGTTAAAGGGAAGCAGATATTAAGCTCAAACAATGATGAAATATGTCTATGCCCTGAGGGTCCAGCCTAAACCAGGAAGCAAGAATTATCAAGTTTTCTTTAATAGTTGTTTATTTAGATTAGAATAGCCAGCACCATTAATATTAGCTCCTTCAATTCTCAAACCAATTGTATTGGGCAGGCATTATTTGCATTGTAGAGGAGGCCCTAAGTTTAACATTTATTGTCTATTGAATAAATGAGTGATTCTAAGATGGGCTCTTGTCCTGACTTTATTATAATTAGCCCTACCCTAAACTTTTTGGGTATGAATTTTCTTACCTCACTATGAGTAAATTGAGGTAATGATTCTTCAGATGCTGGCAGGTAGCTTTAGTTCTAGTCTCTGTCACTTGCCCCATGTCATAATTTATTCACTGCTTTGAATCCCCAATCCAAATTGTCCAACAGTGAAATAAAACTCCAGGTGTAAGGATAGAGACAAACATAAAAAATTATTGGCATTTTCAGCCTTTTGCATGTCTGCACTCCAACTTTCTGTACATTTTTTAAAACCTAAAAAATGGATGATAAATAATGGAAGAAAAAAGGCCAAATAGGTAGCAATTAACAATTTTACATGTTTAGAAGGCATTTTATAGCTTAGATATCACACAAATAATCAATATCCATCTTGGAGTTGTTGCAATAAATGTTGGTAGTAAGAATAAAACATTAGTACATGGATTTGTACTTTACTGGATTTTCACATCAGTACATCTTTCAGTACAGTGAAGATAACTGGGGAATGAACATGCAAGTTTTGTTGAACTAATTCTTATAAACTACTCATGACAGGAGAAACTCTTGGCCAACCATTTTAAGAACCTGTAAACATAAAGGAAGAACATCCCTGCTCTCATCTCTGTCCACTAGCCATAGTGGACATCATCATCATTTCTAAATCTTCTATAACAGTCTTTCTGTTTTTAACACTTTGATTCAAGATGTTGGAGTATGATATTGGAAATGGTCCAAGTCATCATATAGCAAAGGAAAATATAATACATGCCATCTTACTTACACAGCACAAAGCAATTTACATCTGGCATCTGGTCTTTCTTCTTTCTCCACTTACTTTGGACTCTTGGTTGGTCACCTGAAGTGTCTTTCACATGGCTCTTGATTCCATTACATTGCTAGAATCCTGGCTCACACACTGATTAAAACACCAGCCCAGGGTCAATGCTACTGATTTAACTTCTCTGTTTGATATCTAGCTGGTTGTAGTGCTGATAAGAAAAACATTATTCAAACTCCTTGACTGGAACACAAGGCCCCTCACCTTCTGGACCCCTGTATTCAATAGATGTGTTTCATTTTCTATCTCAAACATTATAAATATTCCAGAAATACACAAGCGCCAGGAGCTCCTTATGCCACTTTAATGTGAGGAACCTCTTTTAGCTGAATCTGTCCTAGTCTGTGTCACCACCTCTGCTCTGGAATTCTTCCTATCAGGCTATATGAGAGGTGGCCTTTGTACCCCGATGGTGCACTTTCTACAGTTGCTTTATCTTTCATTTTTGATGTGCCTTTATCTCTCATTTTATTTCACTATAAGCTCCATAAGAGGGAGGCTCTATGTATTTATCATTTTGATAAATATACAACTGATACATAGTGACTCCTAGCAATTGTTGAGTGAAGTAGCGTCTGTTGTACACATGGATTTCTAAAGCCTGATAGATGATGAATGTGAATCAAGTGCTGTGTCCAAGGTGAGATACAAAACTACTGATAAAACCAGGTATAAAACCCAGGTCTCCTAATAGCCATGTCCAATGCTCTTTCCTTTACAGTGCAAACACGATTGGATTGTCTTGGTTTATGTCTAAATTGCATTTAAAGGACTTTGTGTTTTCTGCTTTACAGAGTGGACAAATGGGATCAAAGGGGCCTCCAGCTAGTCCACCCTCATTCCGCCCTGAAGATGAACTAGAGCACCTGACCAAGAAGATGCTGTATGACATGGAAAATCCACCTACTGACGAATACTTTGGTGAGTGGTCTCAGAGCTGACTTCTGAAGTAAATGTCCTGTCCTATTTTCCTTAATTAGGAAGTAAGAGTATTTTCAGCTCCAGTGGTAAAGGACTAGAGTCTGCATGCATTAGAGTTGGTATCCATGTGCACACATCTGAGTGTTCTGGAAGTTGCTTTGTGAGAGACTGCCATAATGTGATATCTGTTTGGCTTGTACTAAAATCTCAGGGGTACTTCAGAGTTTCGTGAGATACATTTTATTTAAAACTTAATTTTTGATCATTTATTAGCTTTTTATTATGCAGAAATAGGTCTTTTGTGTATATGCAGGTCTAAATATTAATATACAAAATGTGGAATTGGGCAGTGTCTAAACTCTGTGCTCTCAGTCCTTTCCCTATCCAAGTTCAAGGAAAGGATGCTCCCTTTATATATTTTTTTAACTTCTCCCATGTCTAAGCCTGTGAATAATTATGAACAATTACTCCATCTGTCCATTCATTTAATGTGAATTTATGAATTACGTGACAATTATGAAGTGTTATGGATACATAACTTGTCTTCCAAGAGGTTGTAATTATTCAGAAGAGAGAAGAAAAGCACAAATAATTACTAATGTAGCTAAAATTATTAAGAGGCATGAGAGATGCTTGCTTAGGTCAGATGTTATAAAAATTTAAAAGTTCTGTTCATCGCCCTGACCAGTTTGGCTCAGTGGATAGAGCATCAGCCTGCAGACTCAAGGGTTCCGGGTTCAATTCCAGTCAAACGCATGTATCTTGGTTGCGGGCACGTACCCAGTGGGTGTGCAGGAGGCAGCTGATTGATGTTTCTCTCTCATCTATGTTTCTGTTCTTCAGGAATGCTTTATGGAAGAATTGGTGGCACTTGAACCTGGACCCTAAAGCATACCTCTCAGGTTTTTTTGTTATGAAAGACTCCTGCCCAGTCTGTTGGAGATCAGTATTTTTATAGAGTATAATTAAAATTAGTTACTAAGAAAACGAAATTTAAAAAAAATACAAAATGGAAGACCCATGTTTTACCATTATCAGACTTAACAAGGATAAATTACTCTATTAAATTGCTGTAATCTTTTCTAAATACTCTCTGTATTCTAAATACACTTATTACAGGGTGACAAACATTCCTTAATCAGACACCCATTCCTTAGTCAGACACCCACCCATGACCTCATTTTCAGTAGTGCTGCTTTTTAAAAAAATATATTTTATTGATTTTTTACATAGAGGAAAGGAGAGGGATAGAGAGTTAGAAACATTGATGAGAGAGAAACATTGATCAGCTACCTCCTGCACACTCCCTATTGGGGATGTGCCGCAACCAAGGGACATGCCCTTGACTAGAATTGAACCTGGGACCGTTGAGTGTGCAGGCTGACGCTCTATCCACTGAGCCAAACTGGTTAGGGCTCAGTAGTGCTGCTTCAAGTACATATGGAGAAAAGACATTTGGGGGCATTGGGAAGGCACAGAGGTGGGAAATTGCACTATGCACAGGGCTTGTACTTCTTCAAGTTTTTCCAATTTGCATGTCTTCCCATTTGCTTCTTATTGGGGAATATGTATTAAAAAATAAACAGAAAACACTAGTTCAAAACCACATGGTAGGTGGACTGGGTTAGGATGTGAAAATCATGACATTTATTTGTAATCAGAAGGTAGCATAGCTTAGCTAAAAGCACAATAGTGAGAACTTAGAATTTAGGTTCTGTCCCTCTCTTCCCCTCGCTGACTAAGCAATATTCTCATGTTCCTCATCCATCTGAGCCCCATTTTCCACTTTGATAAATCAAAGCGGAAAAGGTCTGGCATTTCTTTCAATACTAGTAAGACAATATGGAAACAGCATCAACCCAAATAAATGTAACATAGCTAAAAGCTAAATATAAATTGATATAGATTAACACAAAGGCATGGGAAACAGTAAAAAAAAAGTCTCTACTTATTTTAAAATATACTGTAAGTATATTATGTTCTTGTCATTGATGTGAAAGAAGGATATATATTGAAATAAGGTAAACTTTTTTAAAGAGCATGTTAAAAGTGAACAGTATGTTCTCTGTATTAAAGTATATTAAAAATGAAAAATAATAATACCAAATATATATGCTTCAAATATCATAACAAAAACTACCTAGCAATAAGGAAAAATATGTTAATGACTATATATGTTTCACTTTGGGAAACATATAAATTAACTATTATATTTGCCTTCAAGACTATCCTAGCTCTACTACTTACTAGCTTAGACAACTTCAAAACTTATTAATCTCTCTAAATATTTGTTTTTGTTTTGTTTTATCTTTAATATGGAAATAGTAGTTAGCTTATACTGTTATCACATTGAATGAAATATTTATAGAAAGCACTTAGCCATGTTCTTCGAATGTAAAATATGCTCAGTAATCAAAGTTATCCCATAGTTTAAGAAAACAAGATATACCCCTTAAAATTAATTAATACTTGATTTAAATTTAGGTTCCTATAAAAAACAGAACATATGTCATGCATTGGTAAATAATCATTACCAAATGATCTTTATATACCATGATAAAAATGTGGAATGATGATGAACTTTTATTGAGTGTTTATGATATGGCAATACTATTTTATGTACTTTATACGTATTAACTCATTTAATCCATATTGAAAAAATATAACCCTGTAAAGTAAATGCTATTACTATTTCTATATTAGGAAATTGAGACACAGGAATATTAAGTAATCTGCCCATATCAACAACTAGTCAGTTTTGTGACTGGATTAGAATCCAGGCTCCAGGTCTATACATTTTGTTATTTCTAAAAGATTTTCCCCCAGCTTTCTTGAGGTATACCAAAAAACTGCACATGCTTAATGTGCATGCTTAATGTATGCAATTTGGTGGGTTTGGACCTATGTATTCATTTCCACTGCCGTCACCACAATCCAGGTTATGACCATATTGGCACCTCCAAAGGTTTAGGATAGATATTTAGAAAGGTTTCATGGAGAATATCAGCTTTGGACAGATGGAAAATAACAGAGGATATTCTCTTTTAAGTAGATAGAATGAACAAAATACGACTTGAGGCCAGGATTATTCAAGGAAAGTTTGCTTTATGTGGAAAACATACATTAAGTACCTATTAGATGCAAGTTATCCTTCTAGATGTTAGAGTCATATGGAGACAGGCAAACATGAGTCTTACTTTCAAGGTGCTTATAGTCTAAAAGGGGATGGGCACAGAGTTATGGTGTTTAATCATAACTCAAGATAAAAAGTGACAAGTGAGTTCAAAGTTCTTTGAGAATTCAGAAAAAAGAAAGGACATCCTGAGGCAAGAATGAAAAAGTTTTTGTGGAGTACTTAGCCTTTGAATCAAGTCTTTAAAAGTATGCTAATAGAGATTTGCAAGTGGGATAACATTATAGAAATGAGGTCATTTCTGATTATGGGAATTTTTAACATGAAGGGTTTAAAACCAGTGTAGAGAATCACCTGTGTTGGAAGGAATAAATATTGGGAAATAAGATTGGAGAAAGAAGTTGAGAGCAATACAGAGAGGACTTTATTATTTTGTTTTTATAATTTAATTTTTTAATTACAGTTGACATTCAGTATTATTTTATATTAGTTTTAGGTGTATATCATAGTAGTTAGACAATTATATAATTTACAAAGTTATCCCCTCTATAATTCTAACTCCTGGCACCATACATAGTTATTATAATATTATAGACTATATTCCCTATGCTGTACTTCACATCCCTTTGACTATTTTGTAACTACCAATTTGTACTTCATAATCACTTCACTTTTTCACCTACCCTACAACCCCTCTTTCATCTAGAAACCCTCAGTTTGTTCACTGTATCTATGAGTCTATTTCTGTTTTGTTTGTTTATTTTGTTCTTTAGATTCCACATCTAAGTATAATTATATAGTACTTGTCTTTTGCTCTCTGACTTATTTCACTTAGTATAATACCATTTATGTCTATCCATGTTGTGGCAAATGGCAAACTTTCATACTTTTTTATGGCCAAGTGATATTGCAATTTATATATGTACCACATCTTCTTTGTGTACTTGTCTATTGACGGACACTTGGGTTGTTTCCATATCTTATCTATTGTAAATAATGTGCAATGGACATAAGAGAGCATATGTTCTTTCAAATTAGTGTTTTAGATTTTCTTGTATATATACCCAGAATCGGAATTGCTGTGTCATAAAGTAGTTCTGTTTTTTGTTTTGTTTTTTTAAATTGCAAAACCTCCATACTGTGGAGAGTAGTTTTAATGCCTGAGTAAAGGCAAGTGATTTTATCTTACACAATGAACCTTTGCACATTGAGGTCAAATGCTGTGGGAACTGTTCTGTCAATAGTGGTTAAGAATGTGGGTTCCAAAGCCAGAATGTCTTGATTTGAATGTCAGCTCTACTTCTTAAAAGCAGAAAGCAAAGGATGAGTTAACGAAACTATCATTTACTGTTCCACTCTAAACATTAAACGTTTCCTGAGAAATTTTCCATGCCCGCAGATGTGCTAGCTGTTAGGGACATCTAGATGCAAAGAGAATATCTGCCCTCACTTGGTTCATGAGTTCCTGGGAAGGACAGGGGAAAGGCAAGGATGTCGGTGCAGATTATCAGCACTTTGTTGGGTCTGCCTGGCCTATGTGAGAGTAGACAAAGTCCATAAGTCTGCCTGGAGATGAGGGAAGGAGGGCTACATATCAGTGTGTCTGTAGAAGGGCCTGACACAAGAGAGATTTATGAGTCCTCTCTTGCCCTCTATCTGAATTTTACCTTAGTTCCATTCTGGGCTAGAAATAACATTGCCAAGTACCACCCTAAAAGAATTAACCCACCTAACCCCATCACCTACTTTCTTTTTCAACCAGTTTGCCCATTTAATGCTGAAATTTTCATTGACACTAAAGTTGATTTGCAGTCATTAAGTGCTTCCTTGTCAAAAAACTTCTACTAGATTACAGGCTGCACCTGGG